CAAAGGTAATCTTTTTCTTTTTCCTCTTTATGCTTCTGGACATAGAATGTGTGGTCATACTTGATTAATTCTATGAAAAGACTGAAAGGAAACATGCCAGAGTTTCCAAATGGGTATAGAAAATAATGTTTTATGTTTGGTATTGAAGAGAAACAACAGATGTAGAAAGAGAAGGAAAATGAGAACTCGAAGTAGAATGAGGGTGTTATCTGGTGGCACACCTACAACTAGATCTTGAATTAAAATATGGACATGTTTGGCAAATCCACGTAGCTCATTAAGCCTCAGTGTCCTTCTCATCAAATTTAGATGAATAGTGCTAATAATACAAAGCCCATATAACAACTAAACATTGGTTGTCAAAATTGAATCAAATGGTTTTCCATCAAATGGTAGCCTTTACTATCACTTTAAAATGTACACTTTTAAATGTGCATTGCAAGATTGAAAATGAACTTGATATTACAAATGATAATTTTGGGCACAATATAAGACATCTTTCTGCTTAACTTCCTCATCTCTATAGCTATGATAACAAAAACACTCATCTGATAGAGTGATGAAGGGGAGGTAATCAAAAGTACTAATTAGACCAGTTTAGCACAAAGTAATGAACACGGAAGTGGAGACTAACATAGTTATCATATGGATAGGCCAATACAGTAGTTCAACAGCCATAGTTTGCATAAATAATGTATGGCTTACACGTTTTTGATACTGTGCAACCTCCCGTGAGTTATTTTCATATGTGCAATAGACCTTTTTTTTTTTCCTAATACTTTGCTTATAGCCATTTTTCCATTTTTTGTTTACATTTTCTGATGGCCATTAGGAAACTCTGCCATGTTTCCTTTCAGCCTTTTCATATAATTAATCAACTATGATCACACATTCTAAGTCCTGAAATTTAAAGAAGAAACAGAAAAAAGTTACCTTTGTGGAAACCATGAGACATCAAAAGGAATCATTATATTGCATTCATCAAAGTTTTTGTGGGCCATCCCTTGGTTTGCAGAAATGGATATACAACCTGGTTTTACATTTTCTGTCTAAACAGTTT